ACACTTTCGTGTTGAAATTTTTTCTATATTATTGGCACTCCAGTTAAGTGCTAAATATTTTTTGCTAATTGCCAAGTTCTAAATATTTGCTAGCAAAAAACATTGGCAACATTAGCATCGATTGGTGCGCCTGTGATATGAGTCACTCGGTATTTCGTATTTAAAATGCCCCAATTAACAACAGCTCCGGAAATACTCGTGACTAGAGACCAGATTATAGGCAGTGCCTATTTTGGTTCTTGCGTTCTTATCGTGCCACTTTGACATATGCCTACTTTGTTTCTTGTGTTCCTATCGTGCCACTTTGACATATGAGCGAAAATTCGAGGTTAAGAATAGCTTTCATTGCGTTTTTATAGTAACTATAAATGTCTATTTTGGATGGTTATGCCTAAATTCCTATAAGTGCCTATAAATACCTACTTTTAAAATCAGTGCCTATATTAACGCTATTTAACCTCGAATTTCAGTTTGAGACCGGTATTCATGTTACCAGGCAAAACTGAGTTTGCGGAACTCTGTGAGATGCAATCTATACACCATTTCATAAGTACCTTTCAAAACTTTCAATGCTACAAGGCCTCTTAGCGAATAGGAAGGTTGATTAGCTTCTACAGGAGTATTCATCCGCATCACGTTGTCCGCTCGGCACCTCCCTGGCGTCTGCTCGCATGGGTAGGGGCCAGGATGTGCTTCGGTGCAGCCGCAGGACGATGGAGATGAAAGTGAAATCGTGGAGCATCATCACGGGAAAGTACAGTTTAGATGTAAAGAAAAAGGAGTCCACGTGGTTTTTATTTTCTTTGTCATTTACTTCTTAAACGGTGATTTACTAGGTCACATGAGAAATTTTACTTATACATACACTGCAAGTTATCGTGTACCCAATGAAAAGCTTTGCACCATCATTTTTTAATTGGTTCATTACAAGGTGCCAAAATCATGATGCGAGGAGGTGAGCTTGAAAATCTTGCCCCTCGCCAGGTGTATACCTTGCAATCCGAATTCCTTGCTTGCCCTCTTCGGTATCAGAGCAACTCAAAGCCAGAAGATCAGACGATGCAGACGCATCAACACGTCACGCGCATGCAAAGTTACATTTGCATGATATGCCCATACCAGGTTGTGCACGCAAACGGTGTTTTGTCGTTTCGACATTCACTGCATTGTGCAGCCTGTTTCTGTGGAATGGATCCCTATATGCGTGCATGTGTTGAGAGGCTAGCATGGACCATGTACCCTTACCGCGATACACAGCACCGCACCGCAGAAACTGCTCTAAAGAACGGTGCACCAAAAACACACCAAGCGTCGCTTTTGAATGCTGGCGCCAGCACGATGCTGCGAGGACAGCAAGAACACCAACGGGAACGAAATAGAGGCAGCTTAGTCTCGAATCTCGCTCGATTCGTCGAAGTTTTAAAAAAATTACACTTGATTATAGATTCTAATTGTATGTTTTAGTATTTCTGTCAACCTTCATACTACTATTCAGGTAACAAACTTCACAAATTACACACGTGGTCTCGAATAATTCTCACAGTGTCACATACTAATTTGAATACGCAGAACTGTTCAATGTCGTATACGTTACACTCACCATGTTGGGGCACGCACCCGTGATATGAAGGTCAAGTGGCGTTCAGTCTGACATTTCACCTTTTTTAAGGGGCACGTATTATTGCAAATCTTAGCAGATGAGATCATGAGCGCCTGGTTCATGCATTCCTCTTGCCTGGTCAAAATCTGAAACCTGGTGAAGAGCCCTTCAAGGTGTTCAAACACGGAAGAGAAATTCCTCCTGTGCTGTTTGACCAAGTTTATACGAGGCAATAAGGCTCTTCTGGCCTATTAGCACCCAAACTATTTGCTCCTGTGCTGCCCATCTCAGTCATGCTGAAAAGAAAGAGACCCAGGAGCGCGTTTATTCGATGATGCACACACATCTCATCATGCTGGACTAGAAAAGAAAAGATTGTATTGTGCAAACCCTGCGGGGAAAAAAAAAGCATGAGTATGCTATACCATCGGTGCCTTTGTATCATCATAAAGTAAAACATTTCTGCTTGCTTTTGTGTCGTAGACACAGATCCCACATGTATTTCTTTGAAAATTCAATTTTGTCAATGTTTATCGAGCCTATATTTACGATTTTGGGGGCCTAAAACAGTGTTTTGCCCGCCTATTTTTGGCATAAAAAACCCAGCTTTTTAGTGCCTATAAATCCGGCCTCTACTCATGACTCACAAGTCCTGTTTACGAGTCGACGGAGCACGCAAGCAGAGAAGGGTGTGGCGGGCACTCGCAATTGTTCCCTAGACAGAAGTGCGGAGGAGGAGTTCAGGAGTTCTGCGATCAAGGAGTCACATCGAGGGGCCTGGTGGAAGGCGTCGTCACACGAAGTGGCCGTTGTGTTCGGAAGGCGCACGATGCTTTGGGCTACGCGGCGGGCTTTAGCTTGTTCGAGACGTCGGCATTCTTTAAGGATTGTATCGATGCTCGAAACGTTGTTAAAAACCAGCAGGTTGAAAGCATCGTCAGCAATGCCCTTCAAGACGTGGTTAACCTTTCCGTCTTCCGACATGGACTGGTCAACCTTGGAACAAAGGGCCAAGACGTCAAGAATGTAAGAGACGTACGATTCGGTAGAAGACTGGGCTCGTGTGGCAAGATTCTTCTTTGCAGCGAGCTGACGACCAGATGAATCGCCAAACAGGTCACGTATCTTTTCTTTGAAGAGATCCCAGCTTGTTATGTCGGCTTCGTGGCCTTCAAACCATGTTCGGGAAGTGCCGTCCAGGTAGAAAAGCACGTTGGCGAGCATGAGCGTGGGACCCCATCGGTGAGTAGCACTGACGCGCTCGTATCGCTTCAGCCAAGTGTCGAGATTGATCGTACGATCACCGGAGAAAGTGCCGGGATCCCGGAGGTGCGGTAGTGTGACGTCGGTGGTGGCTTGGACTGATGAGGGCGGCGTAGAGGAAGTACCAGCAGTCGAAGCAGTCGAAAGGTCGCCGATGGTGCGACCGCTGCGCATCTCCATCGAGGTACGGGGGTCGTCCACCTCCATCAATAATGTTACGAGTAACTTGTTTAATGATCTATTCACAGCGCACAGAACCTGATGAGCAAGATGGCGTCAGACCAGCATCCAACGGAAAACCCACTTCGTCCTCCTCTTTCATGCAGCCGTGCTTAGCGGCTGTTTTGTATCAATATCGAGGAATCTATTATATGGAGGTTTGTTATAAGCAAGTTTAACTGTTTTAACAGTATCTATAGTGCTATCAATAGTTCTGCATCACTGGTGCCAAGGCCTTTATAGGGTCAAACCTCCGTGCAACTAATCTCAAGGGAAACCTTGAAAAATATTCATTATTTTGAAAACTCAATGTAGTGGAAGATAGAAAATTAACAGTAAGAAAATGGTAAATGCAACCAAAGGAGTCACCTACCTTTACTGGGTATTGGGCGCGAGGACATACCATGGCACCACCATGCGGAGGCATCTTTGTGACGTACGTGGTTGGATTGCTTCCCCGCCCTCTCGCGCACTGCCCGCAGCTGCTCTTGCGTCTCCTCTTTTTCATTATCATCATTCTTCTACTTCACTTAACCAAATCAGTAAAATACTGCTGCAGCTTTTTTCCTGAATGCCCCGGTGTTAGGCTTCTCGCAATGCCTGACTGCCGACGTTGTCTGCTATGGCCACCTAAATGAAAGCCACAGGGGCCAAGCGCGCTGCCTTTATAATAAGTAACGATTCACTCCGTGTCACATTGAAGCATCAAATGGGTACTAACATATAGTTCTACGAAGCACAACAAAAGCAGAATTCCCACTTCGTGGGAAAAACACAGCATCCTTACAGCCACAACCTTTCTGTTATAACGGCGGGCAAACCTAAAAATCAAGCATGTGCGTGTCTCTGTCAGAGTTTTAACTTTTCCCTGCGGCACAATCCTACATTTACTACACAAAATTTCTTCAATGGTCACATGTTGCACATTCAATCGCCATCGAGCTACACAACATTATGAATGATTGGTTTAGTTCCAGAGCCTCTACAAAGGGTAAATCGTGATAAAAAATACTATCAGTCAGTCATATCATTTTGCTCCTTTGAATGAGCATGCTGTAAGGGCTTGCATCTTATGGTGTAAACGGCAATGTCAGGTTTCAGTAAAATTGCCAGTGTCCAGTTACTTTTTATTTTTTATGGCTTCATTCATAAGCTGTGTTATATTTCACGGAAGCTCTTAGAAGATGAATAACTTTTTGAAGCTGACCTCGTTTTTGCCTGTAGATCAAAGACATTGAGAGAAAGTGACAGTGGTTACGGGCCAATTCTACAGACATAATCTATAAGCAAGGAACCGTGTGAGCTAAAGTCGTGAACGACAAGGGCATTGGCCGAAACTTTTTTCGGAGGGAGCACCACTTTGATTAGAATTGTGTCCGGGTAAGCAGATGTGGTAGAACGTTATTTTGTGCACTAAATATCATGGGCATAAAGTAAGGGGGGGGTGCACGGGCTTGGTGTACTACCATCTAACTATGCCTCTAGCAGAAGAAAGCCCATGTTGTCGGGTACGCACATGGGAACGGACACGCGGCCGGAGAAGAGGATGATGGCAGCAAAGACTGCGGGAAAACCTTGGCGAGAGAAAGTGCGATAAAATTCAATATGTTATACTGAAACGTACGATATTCTGAAACTCACAGTAGTGAAATATTCTGTGCATCAAACTAATGAACTTTTGGAGGGATATTTAAAATGATTATTAATTCAAAAAAAATTTTATCTGAGGTTTGTTATCATGGTATTCGGTAGTCTACAGCTCTGGTGATGTACGTACATGTCATAAACGTATAATCGTCTTTGCGCAGAACACTTTCAAGTTATAACAATGTCTGCCTTGCTTTCTACCACAAGTCGGATATGTTTAGTGCAAACCAGAGCAGGAATGCTGATGGCCATTTCCCAATACCCGACTCACTTTTATCAGCCTAATTGTAGGCTTAATGCATTCCAAATCCTTCATTAACTTTCGCTCGGCATATGGGAAGTGAATGCGCCAGAGGTGGTCGTCGTCTTTGGGAGGCTTCGGAACCATGAGCCACCTTTTCTCACCCTGTCAGAAAAGAGGACGAAGCAGTACAATTACATATAGGCATTTACAAATGCAAAGAGACGTCAGCTTGTGTTTTATGTATGCAGTACAAAGGCCTCAAACAAAGTGGTTTTATTGTGGCCTTGAAAACTTATTCATTTCACCATGCCACACAACTTGACACAGTTCATGATTGCGTTTGGTTTTAACTCTGAGTTATTCATTGATATGAGTTGCGAAACTCCCTATAGGCTCCATGTATCAAAATTAGGACACGCAATCAGCCCAGATGTCAGGAATGTGCAGATTGATGTGCCATCTGTCGATCAGCACACCAGCATTTAAACACATTATTTGTTTCGAGTCACTGTTCACAGATGGCGCGACAGACAGCTAACTTCGGCAAATTTGGGCCTATTGCGTGTCTGGGTATGGGAACGCGGTTTCGCTGCTGGTATGATCGAATAACTCTGGCTTTGACTGACCTTAATGTTTTTGTTCCTCGATTACATGGCCCACTCAGGTCTATTTCTAGCCCTAACTGTGGACTAAACAATTAGCAGCACTTGTATGTTTCGTTATCTATTCAGTTGTTTCTCGATTTTCTGTTCCATTGCATTATGCATTAACCTTGAAGGGGTCATCAACTTTTCCAAGTAATTGCTTTACTATCTGAAGTTTTTTTGCCTAACGAATCAATTGTCACAAATGTTTCTCCCACTCATCAAAAATTACAAGAGTCACAGGAGTTTGTCGCGTGTTAGCACTTTTTCTCTCATCCCGACAAGAATGCTAAGACACAACCTAATAGTGTCTAACGAAAAGAAATGAGCCCTCATTCTTCCGTAATGTCATTCTAGCAGATTTGATGCCTTATACAAAGACTTATTGTTGCCGGGCTACAACACACCATTTCGCATGAAAAAGAGTGTTCCTCACTCAGTGTCACAGCTATGAGCAACATGGGCTCGTAGATTACACAGACCCAACAAAGTCGATCTGAAAGCGACCGCCACAGCAGCTCATTGGTGGAGCACGGAGTGTGTTACACAAAGGTCGTAGGTTTGATCCTTCTGAGCTTTTTGGTAGGGTTGGGGCTAGCAGAACAGCAAACTTTGCTTTGGAGAGCTCGCGTGGTGGCTTGAACTAATGACGTTCTAGACTGGAAATGTAGACCAGCCCAGTGAGGATAAGGGCTATCTAGCATAACCCGCTTAAAAAAATTATGGACCATCTCCTCGAAGGAAACCATGCTAGGATGCAAAGCAGCAGGGCCGCACCCACCGTTGACCTGGTTGAAATGAGTGTCAATGTTGGTGCTGAAAGAAGGATTTGAAGCGAAACTTTGTGTAGTCTTTACTCGAGTAAGCATCTCTTTGAAACGCAAGGACACTGGAGGCAGGGCTGGGTCTCGTGTAAATTTGATCACAGACAAACTAGCCGAAAGAGTGTTTCCGCTCAACGTGTCGTCAAGCGTTGCAGGCGGTCGAGATGGTGAAGTGAGAGAGAAGTGCATTGCAAGCGGGCAGAAGAGCAACACCACCTAGGTGTGTTGGGAGGAGCCGGCAGCTGCTGCGGGTGAGGGAGAAAGTGACATCAACGTGCAGCTGCGACTTGACCTACTTGGCATCGTTCCAACAATTGTGGCGAAGGAAACGCAGCGCGGCGCGTTGGCCCAGAGACATGGATGGCTAGCGTTACACAGTCTCGTCAAAGAGCTGCTTCGCATCTAATAAAATTTTGTGCTGCTGCTGCTTCTCTTGTTGCAGAAAAGTGATTTTTTTATCCATTTAAGCTCCTTCTCATTTATGCCATAATTACTATATGTACTAAAGTTATAAGATACTAGTAATCTACCTTACACCTTTCTTAGCCTCATAGTCAGTTGGTTTCGTTACGTTGATTAAATCAAGTGCTTCTCTAATCCTGTTCAAAACTGCCAGTGCAAATATCTTTTATAAAGCCAGAAAGGAAGATGACGCTCACATGGAGTGGAACAAAAAGCACACACACCTTTCTCAGAAGTTCATTAAACCACCCATGACGAGGCACCTCAGCAGGCAGCTGCTTGAAGATGTACTCCAATACAGGCACCAAGTCTATGTCTATGCGGCTATGGTCTGGAAGGTACACAAACAGTGTCCTGGCAGGCCCACTTGCCCGTTGATGCACCTGCCAAGAAATGTGTGCACACAGACTTCTATGCACCGCTCTGAGGGTTGCTCTAACATGTGGAGGAATCACAGAGGTAGTACATCCCCTTCGGCAGCGGTGCGTACATTTGTACGTATTGAATTCGGAGAAATGTCACGCACAGTATGTTTCTTCGAACGCCTTGAAAACAAGTGTGCACATTTGTGGAGGCTTCGTGAATGGACAAACAGTAGTCACCTGACTTCATTGCGTAGTGTATTTGCTACAGATGGTCACTTTACTGGAGACAGTACAGTGTTCAACGGTCGTTCAATATGGCTCGTCTCGCAAACAAAGTAAAAAGTCCATTTTTTTTTGTTCCAATTGAGTGCAACCAAACATCGAACTCTGCATGAATTATGGGCCTAATATTTCATTCTTTTAATGCAAGTACTGAAGGAGACTTAATACAGAATGAGATACTTATTTAAATGCAAATTACGATTAATTACTCAAAATCCCAGAAAGGAACACATTCCTTCATTTTCTTTCCTGAAGTGTAATATTCAGTGCCTTGGAATCATGCTATGCAAACTTGATGCATTTTCCGACAGTGAATCATAATCCGTGCTTGAAGGGGATAAATGATATTGCTACATTCCTTTCCTCAAGTTCTGTTATTGCCCTGTTACACTATGTTCAGCGCAGACCGTGCCTACGGTGTTCAAAAAGCTTTGAGACTGTAGTAGATCGTTTTGTTAAGATTACACCTACTTCATGAATATTAGAGATTATTCTGGAACCTACGTAGCTCCTAGCGATAACGCTAAAATATTTGACGGCACATATATATAAATGCCGACACGCTTCATTGCTAGTCGGTGGATCGACGGCTGAAGCTCTGTTCACCGCTATCAGTGCCAGTGTCTTGCTGTAATCTGATTTTCCTTTTACATGGCCACAAGTTCGGCCCAAATCAACAGTTTATTATTCGACCTGCAGTATGCTCCCTTCATCCCCGTCATGACCCTGTAACATCTGCAGGAGGTACCACAAGGTCTGATACCGGAGTATGTACGTTTACCCGACAATACTCGGAAGACCAAGACGTTGACACTGACCACGGTGACAATGACAACGCCTGTGCCACCTACACCACTCCTGCTCCGGCAACCCAAAGAGCTGCCAACTTTCCGCGGTTCACAACTGGAAGACCCAGAAAGCTACCTTGAAAGGTCTGATTGCGTCGCCATCTTCAATGACTGGACCGACAATAACAAGCTTCAGCATGTGTACTTATTTCGCCTTAAAAGATGCCGCTCGGACCTGGTTTGAGAATCAAGAGCTAAGCCTCACAACGCTGGAACGTCTTTCGCACCAGGTTCTTCACCGGCTTTTGCAAGTGTGGTCCACAAGGAGAAGACTGCAGCTCTCCTCAAAACCCGTATGCAGATGCTAAATGAAAACGTGGCGCTATTTACGGAAGATATGATTAAAACTTTCCGTCACGCTGACCCGGGCATGTCCCAGGAGAAGAAGGTCCATCTACTCATGAAAGGAGTCAAACAAGAGCTCTTCACCGGGCTGATCAGGAACCCACCAAGGACCGTCGCTGAATTCATTTCAAAAACGTCTATGATAGAGAAGACACTCGAGATGTGGACGCAGCAATACAACCGTAGATTCTCATCTACAAGCTAGGCCGACATTCAAGCGCTAAGAACTGCCAATTTGCGTGAGACGATCGTGCAAGGAGAGCTGTGAGTATAGCTTCCTTCAGTGCAGCCTCACATGGACTCTATTGCGGATGTCGTACGCAAGGATATCAAGCAATCGCTGGGCGTTCCTCGGCCTCCAGAGCTGCACCTGCAAGTCATGAGCTATGCTGCTGCAATCCGCCATCACGCCCCTCCTCCAAGCCCATGCCAAGATATGCCACTCCATCGCACTTCTGTCGCCAGACGCCACCGTCGCCACCTCCACCACCGACGTCCTACCGCTCACCAGCGGGACAGGGCAGCCCGCCAAGGAAAGCCGATGCTTGGCGTGCACCTGACAACCGCCCATTCATGCTACCACTGCGGTGAGCCCGGGCACTCTTACTGCTGTTGCCAGTAACGACAAATGGGTCTTCGGGGCTTCGATAGCATCACGCCGTGTCCACAACAGGGTGAACTACCGCATGACAATGCCGACTTTCTCGTGGAAGCGCAGTCAACACCCAGCGCAGTCAACACCCCGAAGACCTTATCGTTCTCCTTCGCCAGGCCGCTACGCCTCACCGCACCGCTGGCAGTACACTGGCCCTCCTCAAGGCCCATCTTCGAGCCCTTACTCGGAAAACTAAGGGCAGAAACTGATGAAAGTGCGGTTGCTGTACGCCAAACTACGAAAGATCTTGACGTCGAACATTCACAGCCTGAAGAAGACATCACGACGCAACGTGGAAGCAGCGGAGCAAATAAACGTAGCCATGATCCCACTCTACGACCCAACCGCAACACACGACGAAGAAACAGCGACCTCGACGTAATATTCGACGGCCACCTCGTCACTGCTCTCATCGATACTGGAGCTGACTATAGCATCGTCAGTGGGCCTCTCATGACGAAGTTGAAAAAAGCGAGGACTCCATGGCAAGGCACCGACATTCGGACTGCTGGAGGTCCCTTAATAATGCCGACTGGAGTCTTCACAGCAAGAGTCACCATCAATAACAAGACTTATCCAAAGGGCCCGGTCGCTCGAGCAAGGGCAAGCGTTCGCTCGCGTGGGCTTCTGAGAGGTACGGGCTGGCGTCGTATGACAACACACTAGGACACCGCACTGCTCTTCGACCTAGCGTTCAAAATGGGGGCAACAAAAGGTAAGCATTCGCCGCGGGCGCAAGGTGCCATTGGCGAAGTCCGAACGAGCCCCAAACAAAGGAAGCATGGATGAAAAAGAAATGCGTGCTTACCCCATGTCGTCCCGGAGAGGTTCTCTCTTGCTCCCAACGTGCGCACAAAACGTCCTGAGAGACTCTGCGCACGGCGCCACAGTCGACATCCGCTACCGGGTGAGAGAGGTTGTCACTCCCCTCTCCCCCAGCGCGGCATACCGTGGAGGAGGGGAGTCATGTCGGAACATGAGAACGCAGAAAGAGGCAGCAAAGCCCATGCAAAGGCAGCGGGCTAGCTTCGATTACCAGAAGGGTAACAGCACGACTGTTCCGAATGGTTTCAAGAGAGGACTAGTGTCATTCTTTTTGCGAAACGGAGTTCTCTTAAGCAAATTCTTGCCCCATAAAGCCGACCACATTCTGGTGGTTTCTTCAGCAGTGAGACCAGAAGTACTCGAGACCCTACAGGACGTACCGACGGCTAAACACCTCTGTGTTTCCCATACGATCGCAAGAATACAGGAAAAGTACTACTCGCTATGATTTGCCGCCAACGTCACTCGTTACGTCAGGACCTACCGCGACTGTCAGCGAAGAAAGACACCGCCGACTGGGCCAGCCGGACTTCTCCTGCCCATTGAGCCACCTCGCCGGTCGTTCCAGCAAATCGGCATGGACTTACTGGGGCCATTGATTGATTGATTTGTGGGGTTTAACGTCCCAAAACCATTATATGATTATGAGAGACGCCGTAGTGGAGGGCTCCGGAAATTTCGACCACCTGGGGTTTTTTAACGTGCACACAAATCTGAGCACACGGGCCTACAACATTTCCGCCTCCATCGGAAATGCAGCCGCCGCAGCCGGGATTCGAACCCGCGACCTGCGGGTCAGCAGCCGAGTACCATAGCCACTAGACCACCACGGCGGGGCTACTGGGGCCATTCCCAACGTCGAATTTTGGAAACAAATGGCTCATCATAGCTATTCACTACTTCACACACTATGCCGAGACAAAGGCCCAGCCCAAAGGCAGTGCCTCTGAGGTTGCAAGGCTGTTCGTCAAAAACATTGGCCGAAGCTCTTAGCTCCTCACGAAGCTCTTAGCTCCTCATTACAGACAGAGGTACAGCCTTTACAGCGGACCTAACTCAGGCGATCCTGATGTACAGCCAGACAAGTCACCACCGGACCACTGCCTACCATCCACAGACCAAAGGCCTCACCGAACGTCTTAATAAGACCTTCGCTGATATGCTGGCCATGTACGTTGACGTCGAACGCAAGACGTGGGGTGCAATACTTCCGTATGTGACCTTCGCATACAACACTGCTGTGCAAAAAACGACGCAAATGATGCCGTACAACTTGGAATATGGAAGGAGGCCAGTCACGACGCCTGACGCGATGTTACCTATCGTCAGCGACGTAGAAAACATCGACGCACAGAAGAAACCCGGCAACTCACCCGCCTCCGTATTAAGAACTAACAGACGACTCCCCCCTCCCCTCCCCGACAGCCGCTGTTACAATTTTCGACGACGCTTCGTGGAATACCAGCCCGATGAACGTGTTTAGACGCTAATACACCAAGATGAACTCAGTGAAAAAATTCGACAGTGCTTTGGACCATACAGAGTAATTAGACGTCTCAGCCCACACTAGATTAAGAGGTTGTCCCCGACGGCATCATGAACTCTCAACGACGCGATCGCAACCTGAAGTCGTAAATGTCGTGCGCCTCAAGCTATTTCATGTGCGTTAACGAAGTGAAACAGTGTATATTGTTGTTGCTATCGCTGTATCGCAATTTATCGCTTGTATTTTCTTGCATTTTTTTTACAGAAGGGAATAGGGGCGATGCCACGTTCCTTTCCTCAAGTTTTGTTATCGCCCCGTTACACTATGTTCAGCCCAAACCGCGCCTACGGTGTCCGAGAAGCTTCTAGGCTGTAGTAGATCGTTTTGTACAAAATTACGCACACTTCGCAAACATCAGAGATTATTCAGGAATCTACAAAGCTGCTAGCAATAATGCTAGAATATTCGACAGCACATATATATAAATGCTGACGCGCTCCACTGGCTAGTCAGTGGATCAGGCAGCCGATGCTCTGCTCGCCGCTATCAGTGCCAGTGTCTTGCGGACTTTCCTTTT